AACCCCAAAAAAAAAAATTTCCCCCCCCCCCCCCCCCCCACTTCTACAGGCGCCCCGTGAACAAAAAGTATGTTGGCCAGTGAGCTGGTTTGACAACATATGAAAGGGTGACCTCCCACCATGCTGATCACCATTGGGGATTTACCAGCTCAGGCCTAAAACTTTTTGAGTCAACTTGACCATCCATCCTGTTCCTGTAGGCCTGGAGAAGTTTTGATGGAAACCATTAAAAATTAAGGGGGTGACAATGTCGAGTCTTTTGTTGAGCCCTCTCGTCCCAAATATACCAACTCAAGAACCAACGCCAGCTCAGAAGATACTCATTAGGTCGTTGATGACCTCCACAGTAAATAGATAACATCATTTCAAAAATACCCAAGTCTACCGTTGAGAATTGTAATCTTTTGTAGCATTAAAAATTTTGGAAAAATAATTTTGCTCTGTAATATTTACAGTATCCAGTGTAGACGAGTAAAAAAGTCCATAGTAAAATTAAAAAAAATGTTCTTTCAAACATTCCCAAATGGGTGAAACACTCTCCGGTACCCTTCAATGCATGTGGTGCAAGAACCCCCCCCCCCACTCCGAATGGGCCCCTTGGGGGCGTATTGCCACTGAAGGTATCTAGAGTACGACCCTGAGGGGGAAGACCCTTTTTCGACACACAGCTGTCTTCCTGCCCAGTAATTCCAGAAAAGGATGATGAAGTCGATCTATCACGAGGCGCTTCGGGCTGTACAAGCCAAGTAGGATTTGGTAGGCCTCAGGTTTTAAGACTTTTAGTTATAGGAATCAATACATCTTCTATATAAAAGATAATTAAAAAAACTTCAAGTGAAAAATAAACTCTGTAATTTATGGACAGTGTCCTACAGCAGTGAGCACCAAAGCGGTTCAGGTCAAGCAGGAGGGTTGTTTGTGTCGGCCAATCAGAAAACCCATGAAGCATAAAAGGCGGGCAATCGGGGATCAGAGTATTGAGGACGCTTCATAGTCTTGGACTGGGTTTGATCAAGTAGAAAAAGGCTGTCCTCTTTTTGTACCAGCCCACATACTTATATCAATGTTCAAAGCTCGGCTCCTATTGGCGTCCGTCTCCTGGTATACAGCCAACTCTTTGAAGACTTTGCTTTGTGCCAAGGCCTTGCTGCAGATATTTAGATGACCAAAGAGAGGCTTGAACCTCATGCTTTCTTGATCTCTACCAAGGCAACACGTATTGGATCTCAAAGAGCTTGTAAAAAGATCTCTAAGAGTTCTACACATTGGGGTTTAACCATTTGACCTAAGCGATCCTCATGTAGGGTCACAAGTTTTCGGGTGTAAAATGAAGGGTACGAGTGTCGAAAAGTGCTGGTCTTATTCTCTGGGATTGTGGTCTTCAGAGTAGAGCCAATGATACCACTGTAATGTAGAGCTGCAGCTAACGATTATTTTCAAAATCGATTAGTTAGCCGATTATTAAGTTCGATTAATCGGATAAACAATAAAATAAATGTAAAAAAATGGCTCCAGTGATGGGACTACTAGTTTGTATTGAGATTGTAGTCCATCACAGGAGCAAGCTTGGAGCAGTGAAGGTAAAAAAGTGAAAAGTGTGGTGTGCAATATAGTGAAATGGAAAGTAAAATTATGCAGCAATCAATGCAGAATGGCACCGGCTATAGAGGACTACAAATCCCAGCAATAGTACAATATACAGCGCAATGCAGAATATCACCAGCTATAGAGGAGCACAACAAATCTCAGCAATAGTACATTATAGCTGGCAGTATTCTGCATTGCGCTGTATATTGTACTGTTGCTGGGTTTTGTAGTCCTCTATAGCTGGTGGTATTCGGCATTGCACCACTGTATAATGTATTATTGCTGGGATTTGTTGTACTCCTCTATAGCTGGTGGAATTCTGCATGGCGCTGTGCAGAATATCACCAACTATAGAGGAGTACAACAAATCCCAGCAATACATGATACATACAGTGTATCATGTATTGCTGGGTTTTGCATTCCTATGTATAATATACAGCACAATGTACCATCAGCTATAGAGGAATACCAATCCCAGCAATACATTATAGAGCACCATGTGTGGGAAAGTGCAGGCTTACCTGAGCAGTCTTCAAGCAACTTGCTTCTGAGATCGGGCCTGTCTATCGGCGGCTGTCATCCCCCCACACCTGCTCCTCCTTACTACATCTCCCCGCGTCCCTGTGCCGATTGTGGATGTGGGCGGGCGGTGAGTGTGAGGTGGGAAGAAGGTGTGGCGTGTAGAACGTGGATGAGGGCAGGTCTGGCAGCGGTGAGCGTGAGTTGGGGAGGAGGTGCGGTGCGCAGCGTGTGTGGAGCCGTGAACAGGGCCAACTGATCGGAAGCCGATTAATCGATTATTGAAAAAGTTGACAACTTTTTCAATAATCGATTATAATCGATTATGTCGATTAGTTGTTGCAGCCCTACTGTAATGAACCGGTGGAGAAGTTGTGGACCACTCGTATGAAGGTCAGACATTAAATCCCATGCTGCATAGCCAAGTTCCTACAATTGGAAACATTTTCTGTGGTCAGCTAATTATGTCCTCCTAAAAATCCTCAGCTGCCTTGTAGACTGGATGCTACATGAAGTTGCCCGCCATAGGTGTCCCTTGGAATGACCTACCGGGGCCTTTATAGGCACGTATGGAAGGCACTAAGGCAGACTCTGGATATGCTGGACGAATTATACCGATCAGTTGGCATGGGGCAATTTTTTTTAACCCTCTGTGAAGGTTTTGATTCCACAACTGGGTATAGGAAAGTCTGTGCCGGCTGGATATGAGCACCACTGCCACCTTTTCTCTTTTGGATACAAGACCCGGCCTTGGGGTTATCTCTTTCTGGTGTGAGTTTTTGTATGCTTATTTAAACACCAGTTGTTTTTAAAATTCTTCCCACAATAGGCACACTCAAATTTTTGCCGCGAATGGGTCCTCGCGTGTATCGTCAGCTGGGTGGGACTTCTAAATATCCTTCCACACTCGGTGCAAGGGAACTGCTTCCCCACCACGTGGCTCTTCTTGTGTCTCTGATAGTTGGACTTATCCCGGAAAGTTTTTGGGCACTGAGAACAAGAATATTCTCGTACACCTGTGTGTATCTTTTGGTGGATGATGAAGTAAGACTTGACGCGGAAGCTCTTGCCGCACTCCAGGCAGTTATACGGGCGCTCCCCGGTGTGAATTTTACGGTGCCGGATCATATTTGATTTCACGGAAAAGGTCTTGCCGCAGTCGGAGCAGGAATAGGGCCTCTCCCCCGTGTGGATTCGACAGTGCTTCTCGTAATTCGACTTCTCGTTAAACCCGTGCCCGCAATCCAAACACTTATAACGCTTTTTGCTGACGTGCCGCTCCCGATGTGCAGCCAAGAGCGCCTCGCTAGCAAACCGCCGTCCGCAGTCGCCGCATAAAAACGGCTTCTCGTCGGGGTGATTCTTCTGATGCGCTTTGAGCTCCAGCTGGGTTTTGAAGCCCTTTTTGCATATCAAACAAGGAAACCGTTTTTCACCGAGGTGCTGCTTCTGATGTGCCGCTAGGTGCGACCGCTTAGTGAAACGACGACCACATGTGCCGCATGGAAATGGTTTCTTATAGTGGGTTTGCTGAAGCGCTTCGAGCTCTTGTTGCGATTCGAAACCCTTGTCGGAGGAGGAACGTCTTTTTTCGGCAGGGTGACCTTTCTGATCCGGTTCAGGGTGATTTATCTCGTGCGCGTCCAGCTCCGTTTGCGTTCTGAAGCCTTTCTTGCACTTCGTACACGAAAACAGCTTATTGCCGAGGTGCTTTTTTTGATGCTTAGCTAGGAGCGTCTCGCTGGCAAAACGAAGATCGCAGTCGTTGCATAAAAACTCCTTTTCTGGGTGGTTTTTCTGATGCGTTTCAAGCTCCAGTTGTGTTTTAAATATCATGTCACACTTTGGACATGGAAAACTGAGGTGACACTTCCGATGGGCTGCTAGCAGTTCCTCGCTGGCAAAACGTTGGTCACAATCGCCGCATGAAAATGGATTCTCCTTTGGGTGACTTTTTTGGTGCTCGGTGAGCCTTGCCTCAGATTTGAAACATTTTTTACACTCCGGGCAAGGAAATTGCTTTTTGACTATGTCGGAACCATTAGCATCTGCTGGTCGTTCTACTGGAGTTGTTGCCAAGTGCGTCTTAATGTGCCTGTTGCACGCTGATTTGTCGCTAAATTTCCTTTCGCAGCCGGTGCACGCGAACGGTTTTTCTCCCGAGTGAATCCTCAGGTGGATGGAAAGGTGGGTTTTATTTATAAAGCATCTTCCGCATTCGGAACAAGACAACAGTTTGTGGCCCGTGTGGAGACGCCGATGGCGCTCGAAGCTGACGCTGTTGATAAAATGCTTGCCACATTCGGTGCAAGAAAACGGCGTGATTCGGTGGATTTTATAGTGAGCCATCAAGGCGCCTTCGGTCTGAAACCTTTTACGGCACTTGGTGCATGAAAAGCGCAGGTCTCCCGTGTGCTGTTTTTGGTGAGAGCGCAGGTGACTGCTTTGCCTGAAACTTTTCCCGCAGTAAGAGCACAAATAAGGCTTCACGCCCATGTGAATCTCTTGATGCTTGAGGTAGTTGGATTTGTGGATAAATGTCTTCCCGCAGTCGGGGCATGAAAAAGGTCGTTCATTTCTGTGGCCTTTTTGGTGCACCTGAAGATGAGTGCTGTTATAAAAGGTTTTCTCGCACTCGGTGCAAGAATATGGCTTCTCCTTGGTATGGAATTTTTGATGCGCCAAGAGCCGCGTGTTACTGGCGAAGCCCTTGCCACATTCGGGACAAGGAAACGGCCTCTCTCCTGAGTGGGATCGAAAGTGCACCACCAGGTGTGCATTGAATAAAAACAGCTTCCCGCACTCAGAACATTTGTGGGTTTTTTCTCTTTTCTTCTTTTTCTTTACTGTTGGGGCCTTGGATTTGGAAAGATTATTATCTATATCTGGGGCATCATCGTTGCTATCTCTTGATGGGTTATCCAGGGAAGAGCCAACAGGAATGGCTGAGCCATCATCGTTGCAATCTTTTGAGGGGTTATCCAGGGAAGAGCCAACAGGAATGGCTGAGCCATCATCATTGCAATCTCTTGAGGGGTTATCCAGGGAAGAGCCAGCAGGAATGGCTGAGCCATCATCATTGCAATCTGAGGGGTTATCCAGGGAAGAACCAGCAGGAATGGCTGAGCCATCATCATTGCAATCTCTTGATGGGTTATCCAGGGACGAGCCAACAGGAATGGCTGGGGATTCGTTGTTGCAATCTCTTGAAGGGTTATCCAGGGAAGAGCCCACAGGAATGGCTGGGGCATCGTCGTTACAGTCTCTTAAGGAGTTATCCAGGGAAGAGCCAAGAGGAATGGCTTGGGACTCGGTTTTGCAGTCACTTGATGGGTTATCCAGAGATGAGCCAACTTCAGCAGGGAGTAAAGTAACAGAATCCTGATTTGCCCCAGCGTTTTCCTTTTTTGTTGCTTCCTTATTAGAAATATTTTTTGTGACTTTCGAAGGGGCAGTGGGTGCATTGCCACTGCCAACGCCTGCTGGCTTATCCATTGTAGAGTTAGCTTCAGTTTCAATTGACGTTATGGAGCCGTTACCAACCACAGCTGTGGAATTTTTAATGTTTTCCCCTTTTGTTGCATCGGGGTTAGAAACATTATTTGCTTCTTCTAAAGGAAGAGGAAGGCTATTGGTTGTTGTTGGGTTATTCAAAGCAAAGCTGGCTTCGGTTTGGTTTGACCTCATGGCGCCATGACCAACCGCAGATCGCAGATTCATTTTCGTTTGTTCAGAATTAGAGATGTTATTTGTGTCCTTCAAAGGTCCAATATGTGAATCTTTCCTGCGAGTTGTTGTCGGGTTATCCACAGCAGAGCCACCTTTGGTTTGGTTGGAGGTGCTGACACTGTGAACAGCCGTAGACTTGGAGTTCCTAGTTGTTCTCTCTTTTGGTGCTTTGGAATTGGAGATGTTATTTGGGTCCTTCAAAGAAGAAGGCAGTGTATTGTCCCTGCAAGCTCTTGTTGGGTTATCCACACCTGAGTCGACTTCAGTTTGGATTGAAGATTCTGTATCACAAACAACCGCAGATGTGGAACTTCTATTTCTCTTCCCTTTTGTCTTGTCCGCTTTGGATACTTTACTTGTTTCATTTAAAGTCGGGGGAAGTGTATGGTGCCCGCAGGTTGCTGCTGGCTTATTCAAAGCAGAGTCAACTTCAGATTGGTCTGAAGTGATGGCGCTATAAACAAGCACGGACCTGGAGTTCTTTATCTTATTCTTTTTTGTTTCTTCATCATTGTTGATGCTATTTGTGTCCTTCAAAGCTGCAAAATGCAAACCTTCCCTGCAAGTTGTCGGGTTACCCACAGCAGAGCCACCTTTGGTTTGGTTGGAGGTGGTGGCACTGTGACCAACAGCAGACTTGGAGTTCTTAGTTTTTCTCTTTTTTGTTGCTTTGTAATCGGGAACATTATTTGTGTCCTTTAAAGAAGCAGGGAGGGTACTGCCCCTGCAAGCTCCGGTTGCGTTATCCACAACTGTGTCAATAACTTCGGTTTGGTTAGAAGTCATGGCGGCACAACCAACTGCAGATGTGGAATTTTTCATTTTTTCACCTTTTTTCATGTCGGAGTTGGGAACATTATTTTTGTCATTTGAAGAAGGAGGAAGTGTATTGTCCCTGCTGGTCGTCGCTGGCTTATTCAAAACAGAATCAGCTTCAGTTGGGTTTGAAGTGATAGCGCTGTACACAATCACAGACTTGGAGTTCTTAATTTTATTCTTTTTTGTTTCTTCATCATGGGAAATATGTTTTGTGTCCTTTAAAAGGGCAATGCGTGAATCTTCCGTGCGAGTTGTTGGGTTATCCAGAGCACAGTCAGCTTTGGTTTGGTCTGAAGTGATGGCACTGCGAGCAGCCACAGACACGTTCATTTTTTTATTTTTCATCGCCTCTAACTTAGAGACGTTACCTGTTGTTGGGTTATTTAAAGCCACCTCTGGTCTGGTTCGTGTTGACATTATTTTGCTGTAACCAATGACAGCTGTGGATTTTTTTACTTTTATTGCTGCTTCGGAATTGGAGGTGTTAATGGTGTCCTCTAAGGGAACAAGGAGTATACCATCCATGTAACTAGTTGTTGTGTTATTTGAAGCAGAGTCAGCTTTAGTTCTGTTTGTGGTGATGGAGCTGTGGCCAACCACATCAGCGGACTTCTGAAATGTTCTCTTTCTTGTTGCTTTGTAATTGGGGACATTATTTGGGTCATTTGAAGAAGCAGAGAGTGTTGTGTCCCTGCAAGCTCCTGTTGGGTCATCCACAACTTCAGTTTGGATTGAAGTTCCGGCACCAACCACAGACGAGTTCTTCGTTTTTGTATTTTTCGTTGCCTCTAAACTAGAGACGTTATCTGTTGTTGGAGTATTTAAAGCCGAGTCTGATTTGGTTTGGTTTGACATCATAGCGCTGTGACCTGCGACAGCTGTGGAGTTTTTAATTTGTTTTGTTCCTTTGGATTTGGAGGCGTCAACTGTGTTCTTTAAAAGAGCTAGGAGTAAACCATCTCTGCAACTGGTTGTTGGTTTATTCGAAGCTGACTTAGCTCCAGCTTGGCTTCTAGTGATGAGGCTGTGACCAACCACATCGCTGGAGGTCTGAATTTTTCTCCTTTTGGTTGCTTTGTAATTGGGGACATTGTTTGGGTCCTTCAAAAGAGCAGGGAGTGTGTTGTTCCTGCAAGCTCTTGTTGGTCTAACCGCAATTGAGTCCACTTCGGTTTGGATTGAAGTTGTGGGACCAGCCACAGATGTTGAATTTCTATTTTTTTTTCCTGTCATGTCTGAGTTGGAAAAATTATTTGTGTCATTTAGAGAAGGTGTAGGTGTACTGTCCATGCAGGTTGCTGCTGGCTTATTCAAAGCAGAGTCAACTATAGTCGGGTTTGAAGTGATGGCGCTGAAAACAATGACAGACTTGGAGTTCTTATTCTTCTTTGTTTCTTCATCATTGGAGATGGTATTGGTGTCCTTTAAAGAAGCAGGGAGTGTGTTGTCCCTGCAAGCTTCTGACGAGTTATCCAAATCAGCTTCTGTTTGGTTTGAAGGGATGGCGCTGTAAACAATCACAGACCTGGAGTTCTTTAATTCATTTTTTCTTGTTTCTTCAGAATTGGAGATGTTATTTGTGTCCTTCAAAGGTTCAATATGTGAACCTTCCTTGCACGTTGTTGGGTTATCCACAGCAGAGTTACCTTTAGTTTGGTTGGAAGTGGTGGCACTGTGGTGCACCACAGGCTTGGAGTTCATTATTCTTTTATTTTTCATTTCCTCAGAACGAGAGACGTTATGTGTGTCCTTCAGAGATGTAATATGTGCATCTTCCTTGCACGTTGTTGGGTTATCCACGGCAGAGCCACCTTTAGCTTGGTTGGAAGTGGTGGCACTGTGGTGCACCACAGGCTTGGAGTTCATTATTCTTTTATTTTTCATTTCCTCAGAACGAGAGACGTTATGTGTGTCCTTCAGAGATGTAATATGTGAACCTTCCTTGCACGTTGTTGGGTTATCCACAGCAGAGTTACCTTTAGTTTGGTTGGAAGTGGTGGCACTGTGGTGCACCACAGGCTTGGAGTTCATCATTCTTTTATTTTTCATTTCCTCAGAACTAGAGACGTTATATGTGTCCTTTAAAAGAGCAGGGAATGCATTGGTCTCGGAAGCTCTTGTTGGGTTATTTAAAGCCAAGGTTTGAAGGTTTTCAGTTTGGTTTGACAATATGGTACTGTGACCACCGACAGCGGGGTTTTTAATTCTTTTTGTTGTTTTGCCATTGGAGACGTTAACTGTGTCCTTAAGAAGAGCAAGAAGTACATCATCCCTCCAAATTGTTGCTGGGTCATTCGAAGCAGAGTTAGCTTCGGTTTCATTTGTAGCGATGGGGCTGTGACTAGCCACACCATTGGAGTTTTGAATTTTTCTCACTTCTCTTGTTTCGCAATTGGAGACTTTACTTGTGTCCTTCAAAAGGGCAGGAGGTGGACCATCGTTGCTGGTTGCTGTTGGGTTATTTAAAGCCGAGATGACTTTCATATTGGTTGAAATTGTGGTGCCATGACCAACCACAGCCTTTGAGCCCTTCATTTGTTTATTTCTCATTGCTTCAAAATTGGAGATGTTGTTTCCGTCCCAAGGACCAGGGAGTGCTGAGTTATCCACAGCCGATTCAGCTTCGGTCTGGTTTGCCTTTGTGGCAACCAAAGCTGTGGAATTTGTAATTGTAATCCGAAGCGTTTTCAATGAATTGAAGATGTTATGTGTTTTCCTAAAAGGACCAAGGAGTGTATCACCCCTGAAAGCTCTTGCTGGGTTACCCACAGCTGAGTTGGCTTCAGTTTGGTTTAAAGCAAAGGTGCTGTGACCAGCCACAGACTGGAAATTCCTAAATATTTCATTTTTCATTGCCTCGGAATTGGAGATGTTATTTGTGTCCATTAAAGGAGCTGAGAGTGTATCAATTCGACAAGTTGTAGTGGGGTTATGCAAAGCTGAGTTAGCTTCGGTTTGGTTTGTATTGATGGGACTGTGACCAACCACACAATGGGAGTTCTGATTTTTTCTCTCTTCTCTTGTTTCGGAATTGGAGATGTTATTTGTGTCCTTTAAAGGAGCTGGGATTGGATCATCTGTTCCGGATGCTGTTGGGTTATTTATAGCGGAGGTGACTTTGAGTTGGGTTGAAGGTATGGTGCCGTGACCAATCACAGCCTTGGAGTGCTTACTAGTTTCATTTTCTGTTGCTTTA